AATTGGCCCATATTTCGTGGCCAATTTCACCCAATGGGGAGTTAAAACAAATGTACTTTCTATGACTAAATCGTTACCATTATGTCTGAAATGGAATTTCTTACCAGAGCCGTTTTGGACCTTAATTATTTATAACAGCCCATCCACAGGGATTATAATGGTTCTTGGTATTCTATAAAATGACCCCATTTTTGGGCCATTTAGAATCAAGGCCTAACTATAGCCCAAAGGAAAATAATCTTTAGTTCTCCTTCAGGTGCAAGTAAGTTTAAAACTGCTCTTTGAGCCTACAATTAACAGCTATTTACCCTAAAAGTGTTCTAATTTTGTGGTAGATCTAATCTCATTACCTTGCCCTCTCATTTAAAATACACAAGAGGCATGCTCAGTGCAATGTAAAAATATTTTATTATTATTATTTTTTAGCAAACTCAGCAAAAATTTGGAATGTACATCTCTAAGATAACTTTATAAAATACTGCTGGGAGCCCCAATACCAAATTTCATAAAAATAATGTCAGAAAAGTGACTCAGCAGAACCCTGCTAAATTAAAACTCTCAAGGTTGCCAAGAAGTTCATTAGGTTCAAAATAGAGGGGTTGGTGCTGAATTTTAAGCACTACATACAGCTGTAATGATCACAGTAGAAGTGAGTATAACTTCTTAGGAGCCTTTGAGCATTTTAAAGGCATTTTGCGTGAGACGTTTTAACCCCCAAATCGTAAAAGTATGAAAAAGAAGGCAAAAATTTGTTCTGTTAAGTTAGTAGAGCTTTTCTCAATACATTTCACTACTACAAATTGAAAATGCCATTGAAGAGTGTGTTGACACTCGACAAGGTCTGAATGACCTTTATATACCATTACCATGTTAACTATATAAAATGATGACAGCAAAGAAATTATACTCTCTACAATACTCTGGTGCAGAATGGTGCATAACATTATTCCGTCACACACAATGTACACTTTGTTGAAATCAAAGGCCTCTTCAATTGCAACAGTTTGCGGTTATATGAAAGTTGCTATTTCTGCATCAACTGAAGCATTTCTCTGTCAAAAAAGCAAGAAAGAACAACATCAACAAGTTGTACACTTACTAACATACAGTTTCCCAAATTAAACTACATGTGGCAATAATAAACAAGATAATTTACATTGACAAAAAGGGAAAAATACTGTTCTTGATAGCTGTGGTTAAGTAGGGTAATACAATGAATGGTTATCATCTATCTAGAACTAGAAATGCAAATTTTACATAACTCTGCTAATCATAGGAAGTAACATGGCCACCTAAAATAGAGTTGCAATAATGTACATGTAAGCTTTAAGCAGTTTAAGCTATGAATTTACCCAGTAGTCAATAACATTACAGATGAAAGTCTTTTAATACATGCAAGTCTGACTCAGTAGCAATAATAATAATAATACAGTGAATCCTCTAGTAAGCGGACACCTTCGGGACCTTCCCAAGTGTCTGCTTAATAGAGTTTGTAAAAATTGCGCAATGTTTGTTAACGATCAACCTTTAACGGTTACTCTGTACTGTGATAAAGTTGCATGTTGTTAAAGAAGCCATTCAAGTTCATTACCTTTCATTACCTACTTTAATTGTTTGTTTGTAAATGCGAAAACATTAACTGACTTCAGTCCGTATTTCAAGGATGTAATCCAATACTACTATTATTAATTCAGTACGGTGTCTGCTTAATAGAGGCTTTTAACAATAGAAATTAGCAAAATACACCTTATCTTAGTGTCCACGTCCGCTTAATAGAGGTGTCCGCTGAATAGGGGTTCGTTATAAAGGAAACTATAAAGCATTAATTTCAGGACCCGGCTTAGTGTCCGCTTAATAGAGGGTGTCTGCTTAACTGGGGGTCCGCTTAATAGAGGTTTCACTGTAATAATAATAATAATAATAACAATAATAATAATAGTCTTTATTAATTCATACGATAAAAACTATTATCTTATGTTACAAAACTGTCACATGACCACTCCTCCAGTATTGTAAAAATATTCTTTGTCTCCTAGCCATAATTTTTCATGAATTAGGGCTAGGAAACAAAGGAAATTGAGAATCAACCAAGATTAAATCAAAATTAACCTGAAACCAACTTTGACCTGTAACGTATTACAATCAGCATTACATAGTAACAACATTCTTTAGGTCCCCCAGCAGTATATCAAATGTTGGTCAGTCCTTAATACTTGCTCATACAGGTAGATACAATAATAATTCTGACCTGTTTGTTTTGGCAATTTCCCTAACCATGCATGTATACCCAAAGCTCAAGACTTCTGAGGCTGGGCAAGGGGGATATTTTCCATCATACAGAGCTAGATCAATATGCATATGACATGATTTGAGTCAACTTCTTTCGCTTGCAGGAATTTTGACTCTCAATGATTCTATTTTGCATGCTTTATTAAAGACTATTATTTTAGGTTGCCAATCATCCAAGTTACACCTTTTGGAAATCCAGATAAAAAATTATTATCACCTTTAATGTCATATGTAAAATCCCTTACAACAAAGCATTAAAATGTGTAACCATAATGTGTCAGTGACACATCTACTTCCAGTTTAACAGAGCTCTCTAAAAATGGTAACTGAGTGTTTGATTTCCTGTCATTCCACAAGCCTCTAGACTAGTATGAGCATGTTATGCAACCCTCCAAAAAACACACACCAAAAAAAGGGGAACGCCTTATGATAGATGCACGACAAAAGATTGGCTTCATCAATAACAGCTTCTTTTACAGTGTTCTCCTTATCAAGCGGTAACTGTTAAAATTTACTACCTGAAGCAACAGTTCTCACCGCCTGCAACCGCTGAAGGGTTATTAAAAATAAATATTGTAAGTTTAAAAAATGCGCAAGTTGCGATCCGATCCGATCAAAGTAATGAATGATTATGTGCCAAAGTACTAAAGTATGCACAGCCTTTCTTTTTATGGACCAAAAAACATACTGGAATCAAACATTTTTACATATTGATGTCTAAAGATAACAGCAACTGATTTGCTTGAAATAGGTCTTCAAATGAAGGAATGACATTTCAGAGACCTTAGCTCCTAAATTTCTCAGCGAGGGCAGGGTCATGTCCCTCACTTCACTACCCTCTTCCCCCATTTCCCCTAGGAAAGTGCGCCTCTGGAGCATTTTTTGCCTTACCGCCCATAAATGGTCCCTTACCTGCTGAGCTAAAATTTAAGGAGAACCCTGTTTTAGTGTCAATTCAGAATAACTGCGACGTTAACTGATGCCCCACTTAGTGTCAAAGACAACAGCTTAAAAACATCACACTTTCTCCGACCTAATATGACGTCATTGTTGTAGCTGTCTTCATAACTACGAGTTAGTGTTGCTTCATTTCTTTAACTACTTTTAATTTTCTGTGAGACACTAATACGTAATTTTTCAGAGTTCAATATTTATGTTTTAAAATTCCCATTGCTTATTACATGTATTTGAATCCAAAGTGCTTTCACTGGCACTACACTTGGTCTTAAGGTCACTGATTCTTTTTGTCATTTCCAGCAAATGATTAGTTTTAGTTATAAGATTTGCTTTCTTTTTTTTATAGTTTTCTGCCTTTTCTCCTTTCACTTTGTCTCCTTTTTACTCCTGTCTTCTCAAACAACCACACAGAAAACTTAAATAAAATCTGTGATGCCAAAATTTGCCTACAAGTTCCCAGCCTTGCATGAAAATGCAAACCTTTCTGGAGGAAAAATGTAAATTTGTACACAAAATTAAAGACTCCTTAATAAGACAACCAAATGACAAGGAATCTTATTTTTACTCTGAGCTTTGATTCTAACTGTAAAGTGATCAATAAATGCCTAGAAAATTTTAGGATTTCATGGCATGAAGCTTCGCACCTAACTGGAATATGCAGTACCTTGATCACCTTACTAAATCGTTATGTGAGGAAAAAAAATAGAAATGTACCATTGATCATTTTAAGCATTGCACTGTACTGTAAAGTGATCAATCAATGCCTAACAGAAAGGATTCCTCAACATCAAGCTTCGCACCTAACTGGCATATACCTTGATCACTTACTATGTACATGTACATGTAGCAGCCAAACATTCTATTAAAAATTTGTGGAAAAATATAGAAACTTGAAATATTATCGGAACTGATTTGCAGTTGAGGTCAAAAGATGCAGCTGACAAAACAAAATTGTCTTTCTTCAACTATGTCCGTGGAAACTCGTGAAGTTGCTGATTTATTTATTACTTAATTACAAACTGTTATCTGCAAAACTGGTTTGATGTTAAACTAGTCTGAAATTGTTGTAATTCACTCTATCAGTTTTAATGTAGCAGTGGTAACATCAACACTGTATACTGCCTACAAGTTCCCAGTCACGCATAAACATACAAAACTTTCTAGAGGAAACATGTAAATTTGCACACAAATGACCCCCACATGCATCTGTATATCTTGACAAGAAAACCAAATGACGATGAACCTTATTTTTATTCAAAGCTTCATGTCTACTGTATAAAAGTGATCAATCAATGCCTAGAATTAGGATTCCTCAGCATCAAAGCTTCGCACCTAACTGGAATATACCTTGATCACCTTACCAAATCGTTATTTGAGGAAAAAAAAATAGAAATGTACCATTGATCATTTTTCATAAGTATTACACTGTACTGTAAAGTGATCAATCAATGCCTAACAGAAAGGATTCCTCAGCATAAAGCTTCGCACCTAACTGGAATATACCTTGATCACTTACTATGTACATGTAAATGTAGCAGCCAAACATTCTATTAAAAATTTGTGGAAAAAGAAACTTGAAATATATTATTGGAACTGATTTGAAGGCTAGTTGAGGTCAAAAGATGCAGCTGAGTAAACAAAATTGCCTTTCTTCAACTATGTCCAGGGCATGGAAACTCACGAAATTTGCTGATCTATTTATCACTTAAGTACAAACTGTTATCTGCAAAACGTGTTTGATTCCAAAATAGTCT